GTCTAGTCTTAAGTCCATCAAATAAACGTAAATGTGAATAATTGAGTGTAATGTGAAGAGTATTCTTAATTGCTACTTTTGATAACTAATCCTTGGAAGCAGGCACAAAGTTTCCATAGTCGCGTCTGACCTTCATGGGTGGCTCGTTGCTGGGGGGATCATTGCGCTGGCTATGGTCATGGGAGCGCTTGTAGCCACCAGATCCGGATCCTCCGTCATAGCGATCCCGATCCCGGCGATCTCTGGGATCGTATCTGTTGTTGCGCCGGTTGTCTGCGTGGATAAGTGGGTTAGTTAGCTATAAATAGGTACTGAGCTGCCCGGGAACCTACCCCTGAAACCTCTGTCCTGGTTGTTGTGGTAACCAGCTCCTCCCCGTCGCTGCCAGCCCCTGTCGCCACCGCCTCTGCGATGTCCGTTGTAGCGATTGTTGTGGTGATGTCCGTGTCCATGTCCACCTCCTCCTCCACCTCCGCCACCCTGGAAACCTCCCCCTCCTCCACCCATCCAGTTCTCTACAATTGGCGGTTCCGGCAGAGGTTTGCTGCAGTGGGCCATAAACTCCGGATCCTCATCTGTGAAGCGGCCTGCAAACTCCAGCTCACAGGACTCCAGGAAGTTGACGTCCCTCTCCACCAGGCGGTTTATCTTTCGGTTCGGATCGACCATTTTTCTGAGATATATCCAAATACAGACCTCTCGATTTTGATTTTCATATGTTTCAATGGCCACCAAACACAGCTGTTTGTGCGTTCACCAACGTTATTTCAGTCACTGTGATGGTCGTTAAGTCACGACATCGGTGTGAGAAGCAGTTATCGGTCAGAAATCACTTTCATATTAAAATTTCAATAATATTAAGCTAAAAGTTATTAGATTCACACAAAGTTATGGGGACCATTAGTAATTAAGAATTCCTTATTTCTTGTTGTATATGACAAATGAATGAACACATATTTACTTGTTAAATTAAAGTACAAAATAAATCACTAAATCGAAAGCACCTGCTGAACGCGCCCACCTCAGCAATGTGTGTGCAGTATTTTCCATCCACCACAGTGCGGTCACACTGCTCGAAACACTATTTTGCGGGGGCGAGTTTTCCGCGGAAAAATGTTATTAATTAAGCAGTCGAACAAGTCCCGATGCTTCGCCCGCCAGCAGTAGACAGCAGAACATGTTCCCGCCTCGTCGCCACAGCGAATCACGGATCACAGCCCACACACACGCCCAGAATCCGGAGGAGGGAAAGGGAAGGAGTCGGAGCCCCCGGAGATTCGGATTCCACCACTAGCCATGGAGCAATCTGTGTCCGCCCGCTGGCTGCGACGCTATCGCGCCTTCTTCCTCATCCTGCTGCTCATCGTTGCCATCCAGTTGTTCCTGGCCTACAAATCCCTGGACATCGTGGGCGGCGGTTCGGGCTCCGGATTCGATGCGGCTGAGACGCCAGCCAGTCCGCCCCCGCCGCTGTCCCAGGAGCGAGTCCAGCCACCACCCAGGACCAAATTAACTGCCCAGCAACTGGGCTTCCAGCCAGAGTGCGACATCCTCGCCCGGGAGGCCATCTCCGCCCTGCAGCGCGCCAAAACGAAAGACTGTCGGCAACATATCGCGCACATTGCCTGCGCCATCCAAGCCGGACGCTTCTATGCCCCGCAACTCCGGAGCAGCTGTCCGGCAGGCAATCACACGGCCAACGTTTCCCTGGGCTGCTACAAGGACGAGAAGGATCGTCGTCTGCTGGCCGGCTACTACAGCAGCTCCAAGACGTCCAATTCCCCCGCCAAATGCGTGCAGCTGTGCCTGCAGAGCGGCTATCCCTATGCAGGTGTCCAGTATGGACGCGAGTGCTTCTGCGGCTTTGATACGCCGCCGAGGGCAGCGAAGATACCCGACTCCAGCTGCAACACAAAGTGCCTGGGCAACGCCAAGGAGATCTGTGGAGGATACTACGCCATGAACATCTACGAGACCGGCATAGCCAGTGAGTAGTTGGATGTATTTTGAGCTGAGATAATTTTGCGTGATTTTAAAAAGAATAATGCTTTCCCTTATCGCTAGTCAACTATTAAAGGTATTCATTCTCACGCTATATGGTATAATCTTTAAGCAATACCACAAAACTATAGTTATCTTTTAAATGTTTAACTAACCTGCTTAGATATGTGATCTTAAGATAAGAAATTCTATAGATTTAACAGAGAAAAGTACCAAAATAATATATTTTCCTTATAGAAACCGCTTAACCTATGCCTTGTCTTGCAGAGTTCACCGCCCAGCTGGCGGCCACCACTCCTCCGCCGGGAACGAAGCGCGTGCGGATCGCATTTCTGCTGACTCTCAATGGAAGAGCGCTGCGTCAGGTGCATCGCCTTCTGAAGGCGCTCTATGCTCCGGAGCACGTCTACTACATTCATGTGGACGAGGTGGGTCAACGGCCGGAACTCGGCAATTAAAGCGCGCTCAATTAATTGCGCTAATTTGCACAATTTACAGTGGCCAAAATAGTTGGTCACTGAAATTGATTTATTTATGGTGTGGCTTACAGCTAACCAACCGACTATATCAGAAATGCCTTGATCTACATAGTTACTGGTTATATAAACTATCTTGTTTAATGCGGAAAAGTGCACAATCAGCACTGCATTTAATTCACATTGTATACTAATTGCCTGGCCCACAAACAGAATATTACGATTGAGTTCTGCCCGGTTTATGAAAGTGTCTACGTAGCTTTGATACTATATAAATATTTAAGTATTCTAATTGAATGTACCTTGTTTATCCCCTTAGCGCCAAGATTACCTGTACCGGAAGCTGCTGGAGCTGGAGTCAAAGTTTCCCAACATCCGCTTAGCGCGAAAGCGTTTCTCCACCATTTGGGGAGGAGCATCTCTGCTGACCATGTTGCTCCAGTGCATGGAGGATCTCCTGCAGTCGAACTGGCACTGGGACTTTGTGATCAACCTGAGCGAAAGCGATTTCCCGGTTAAGACGCTCGACAAGTTGGTGGACTTCCTAAGTGCCAATCCGGGGAGGAACTTTGTCAAGGGCCACGGCCGGGAGACGCAGAAGTTCATCCAGAAGCAGGGTCTGGACAAAACCTTCGTGGAGTGCGACACGCACATGTGGAGGATAGGAGATCGCAAGCTGCCAGCGGGCATCCAAGTGGACGGAGGCAGTGATTGGGTGGCGCTGTCGCGACCTTTCGTGGCCTATGTCACCCATCCCAAGGAGGAGGATGAGCTGTTGCAGGCCCTTCTCAAGCTCTTTCGGCACACCCTGCTGCCAGCGGAGTCCTTTTTCCACACGGTTCTCAGGAATACGCAGCACTGCACCAGCTATGTGGATAACAACCTTCATGTGACGAACTGGAAACGGAAGCAGGGATGCAAGTGCCAGTACAAACATGTGGTGGATTGGTGCGGATGCAGCCCGAATGATTTCAAGCCGGAAGATTGGCCCAGGCTGCAGTCCACAGAGCAGAAATCGCTCTTCTTCGCTCGAAAGTTTGAGCCTGTGATTAACCAGGCTGTGCTCCTGCAGCTGGAGGAGTGGCTCTACGGACCGTACACCAGCGAGTACGCCAATCTGCACGGGTACTGGCAGTCGCTGTATCATCACGAGGATGTCCACGGATCAGGGGATGATTTGGCCAGGAGCATAGGTGACAGTGTAATGCGTCTAGCGGCTCGTCAGGCCAAATTGGATCCCCTGGAGTTGATCGAACTCACTCACTACCTCCACCGGGATCAGTACAAGGGATTCCTGGTACGCTACAGAGCCAGAGGATCAACAGGGAAACCACTCCATTTGGAGACGCGAGTGCGTCCGATGCAGCAAGGCAAGCTGGCGAGGAATGCCCGCTTCAGCAAGAGATTACGCAACTTTGAAGTCTCCACGGACTTCGATCAAAAAGAGCAGGTTGCCCGCAACTTTGGAAAGCTCTTAGGTCCCCAAAGTGATCTGCTACTGAGCTACACACTGCAGGCCACCGCGGATTCGGGAGCAGCGTCCCACTCATACAACCTCACCCTGCTGTGGATAGATCCGCTGGGTCGCTTGCAGGATTTTAACGAACTGCATGTCGAGGATTCCACCAGCGATGTGATAAATCACTCGAAAACCCTGCTCAAACATCCAATCCCGCCCGGGATCTGGACAGCCAAGTTGATAGGACGCAACTCCATCTATGCGCAGCTCAAGTTCCTAATAGCCCCAATGGCCTACTACAGGGGGTATCCCTTGGAAAAATCCTCGGAAGCTGAGAAGCTAAACGCCGGCTTATCTGTGGCGCTGCCCGAGGATTTCGAGATGCCCGTCGAGTGGCAGCAGCATCTCCAAACCGACGATGAGCAGTTTACCATGCGCGAGGAATCCCTGGCCAAGGGGCGGATGCTGGGGCAGGAGCTGCATAGTTGGATTGACAGCTTGGTCGGTCAGTTCTTTCAGCTCCGCGAGAGCTGCGTGGTGGAAACGGACACCGAGGTATCTCTGCCGCTCTGCAGCGATGTCGCCTGGAGCTCACTGGCTCCCGATCCCAAGAGCGATGTGGATGCCCTGCTCAAATGAGCCGTTGCCATTTATCAGTTTTGTTATTAATTCTCTAGTGTAAATACTCGCCAAGTCTTAGAAACCGATATGCAATTAACCATTTTTTGATAGCTCTTTTTTCTCCTTAATGTTTTCGTATAGATTGTTGTGATAAATGTGAACTTTTAAGCGCCATCTTGACCGGATGCGGAACTCCGCCGCTCCATTTGTAATTTGATTTTATCAATAGTAGAGCATAGAGCATTTTGAAGTAGTTAAGTTAGTTAGATTTGAACGAACGCCTTGTAAATACGCAACGCACTGGACACCAAAAGATCGCATTGCAGCCAAATATCGTGGAGGCAATCCAGAGTTAACTGTACATAAGGTTAGCTAGACGCAATTCCTTAACTAAGTCATAAGCTAGGCAGCGGCAGCACCACCAGATAGCAATTGAATCAATCTGTATTCACAATGTTTCTTCGATTTTTTGATTCACATATCAAGTTATCCAAAATAAATGAGCAATTCTACATGTACTAAAGTGGTCGTTCAAAGATTCATTCTGCTCCTCATCCGAGGTTGAACACACCCCTTGGCGGAAAGCGGAACTTTGGGGCCGGAATTCCAGGTATTTGATGTATTTAGTAGGTTAGACTTAAGTAGACTTAAAGCCAAGGCTATTTGTACTGCCGTTCGCTGCTGGCGGGCAGCCTAGATGCACAGATCCTCGTCCGGATCCTCCTCATCGAAGTCGTCGTCAGCATCGGGTGTGTATATGATGTTGCCCTCAGTCGGCTCGCTGGTGCTGGAATATGTAAGATCATATCGTCAGATAAACCTCTCTTATTTTCATATATCCACTAACCGTTCATATGGCAGGGTGAGTGCATTGCGGGCCACCATCTCATCCTCGTCAAGCTCGATTTTGAAGGTGCTGCTGGCCGGCTCTGGGGTTTGCTCCGCCTCCGGGGTAGGCTGTTTGGGTGAGACACCTGTGGGCAGCCCTTCGTCAAGCGGCGTCACCTGGAACTGGGTCTTGCTGACCTGGCAGGCGAACCGCCTGTTGGACACCCCGCCACCGGGTTTGCGCGATATCAGTGATAGTAGCTTGTCCGTCTCCAGGCGAAGCACCAGCTCCGCCAGGTACTCGCAGCCAGCCAGGATGTAGTCGGCATGGGGATGCTGGAGGTGCTGCGGGGAGGCCCAGAGGAACACACGACGCACGTGCTCCGAGCGACGCAGGCGGTTGAGGAAGCTAAAGATAAAGGCGGGCGACTGGTAGCACAGCAGGTCGGCCAGTGTGGGCAGGATGACGTTGAAGCCGGAGGGTTTCCCTGATCCTGAGCCCGGAGGGCCCGCATCCAGGTCACCGGTCTCTCCCGCCGGCGTGTTGTTGTTGTTGTTTTGGTTGGCGCACTCGGCGATCAGTGCCTCGAAGGTGGCCACGTGCTTCAGGCTGATGCCGGTGGGCAGGGTCTTGATGGTCTCCGTCCCCTGGCCCTGTTCGTGCAGCAGGCTGCCGATGAACTTGGGGGCAATGCGCTCCCGATTTAGCTCATCTGTGTGCGAGGGGAAAGCAAAGGTGAGGAGGAGCACATAAGTTGGCAGGCGTTACTGGGGACTTCCCCACCTTGGACTCACCTATTACGAGGACCACTTTTTGTTTGGTCACCAGCAGGTTGGAGAGCATTTTGCCAGCATTTATTGGGTGATTGCTTTATTATTTTAAATTGTTTTAAATTGTGCTTTTTGCTGAGGCTGCTAGTGCTATAAGGCGTTAAGGTATTTTGAAACCTATTGAGAGGGTCACACTGGAGCTGTAAGTTAAGCTAGGGCTGGGTAGTATATGTTTGCTTTTCTTAAATTAAATTAGATATTATTTATAATTTTCAAAAATCATGTTCAACCTTATCTGTAAGCCCTAATTATCTTTATTCAAAATTATCTAACCTTTTATTTTGTATTATCTTGAATATATAATTCTTAATCTCCTTCCCTGGTTATCCCGCTTTTTCCAAATGAGTAAACAGACAAAAACAAAGCGAGTAAGCGGTTAAACAGATCGAGTTACAGTTTAAAACCCTTTGATAGTGAAAGTCTGACCTTGTCCTTGGCATGCTAACAATAAATTAATGATCAATGAATCTGCCGCTTGTTAGTTAAACTAGTTAACAAAATGCTGACGTAGTAAAATTTGCACAGCATTCGTTTACTTTTCTTTTTGTTGCCAAAATATCTCTTTGTGTTTGTGCCTCTTTTGTTCTTGTATCTCCCACTGAAGACTATTTGGAATTATATGTATATTCCAAATTAAATAAATTGGACTACTGACCAAAATATAAACCGTAAGTTTACCTCTTTATTTAAGCCACGTCTTTAGAACTCTTCAAAACAAATAGAACTTGGTGGCGGCTTTTCATTGATATCCAACAAGTGGTTTACCAGTAGTGGTGTGTGTTTGAAAGTTTGTTGCATGTGTTTTTGTTTTTACCGTTCTGAGCTTCCAATGGAAAAGCTCGTGGAAATGGAAATGGAAATGCCAATTGGAAAGCCCGAGGGAGTGGGCGGGGCTTTAGGGCTTTCGACGCCCACGCAGCCTTTGCAGAATTTCCACGGCTTTTCCTCCATATGGAAGGCACAGCTTCCTGCATTTAAAGCAGTTAGTTCAACAAGTAAAGTAAAGTGCGTGGCAGTTACCAGAAAATATAGAAAAATCGCGAAAATCCCCAGCGTCATCGCTTTAAAGTCAGTAATTGAGTGCTGAAGATAAGAGTCTTGAGACAAGTCATATCTGACCGGGGTGAAGCATCAATCAAGTATACGCCATGTTGTTCTCGCTGGGTGAGTCGAAATGCACATACAGTCAAACTCCCCATGAAAAGAACTTAAGCTCTTAAAGGTTCTTAAAGTCGAAAGCTGTTCTTAAAGCTATGAAGATGTCTTACTTATCCATTCATATCATTTCATTAAAGTTCTCTAATAGAAGTTCGTATTACTAATACGTAGTTGTTTGTTGTTGTGAGTCTATAATCTTTAAGTTGGTATATTATAATTAAACTAAATAAATGCATCTCTTAGATAATAATAATCATAAGTAAAAGCCTTTAAATGTGAACTAACTAAATGTGAAACCAACAAAAGAGTAGGCTTTGAAAAAACAGTTCAAAAAATAAGATCAAGTTTCCTACTAAAACACACTATTAATGTTAATTCTGTATAAGTAAATTTAAAATAATTACTATTAGCTTATAATAGCACTTCCCCTCTGGTAAAAAAAGTTCTTAACAAAGAAGTCCGCCTGCACCATCCCATTATTATGCACAGAACATTAAAGTCAAAGTCGCAATTGGAATGCCGCTCAGTGACAATAGTTTGAATAGACCAGAGGAATGCAAAATGCACCCCCTTCTCGGCCAGAAGCGAGCTACCTGGTGCGGCATACTAACCAGCATTGGTTGGCACCCAACCCCACTGGAACTGAAATCCAATCCGCATCAGAAAACCAAACAAATTATCCACAGCGAACTGAGCAATATGTGGGGGAAAATCGCATGCGAGAGATTCCATCGAGAGATTCGAAAAAGCTCTATTTTTCAAGAGTCGCCGGGCGGCGGCTGGAAAACTTTAAATTCATTTGCGCATTGCACGCCAAAGTGTTCGGTTGTCTTAGCCCTAGAGTGCTTCGTGTCGTGCTAACCAGTGTAGTTAGTAACAAGTGTTTCTAGTGTGTGTATCGTTTTGGGGCAATTAACGCTGACCATTGTTGCATGTGAACCATTGGTGAACTATTGATTAATCAGTGCCTAGAACACCATGTCGAAGGATACGGACGTGGAGCAGGCCGTAAAGCCGGAGACGGGAGTTGTCCAGGTGCAGCCAGCGATTCCGGAGGAGCCACAGGTGACCACTCCCACGACGGTGTCCACAACTACGACGGTGATCGCAGTGACGAATGGCGAAAAGCCCCTGGAAGTGACACCTCCATCTGGAGCACCTGCCACACCTGCAACAGCAGAACCACCTGCAACAACCATTGCTGGCATTGAATTGGCCACTCCGACGGCAGCAATCCCATCACCATCATCAACAGGTAGACAGTGAATGCCAATGTGAATGGCATTGGATTTTGGCTACCAGTTTGATGAGTGCCAAGTAAAACCCACAAGTCGAGTGTTTAATACTAGTAAAAGTTAAAGCTTATAGCAAAACGCATCGAAAGAGAGACTGCACTCCATCCATTTCCATTCACCTACCCGCCCGCTTTTCACCCATACCCATCACGAACTGGCTGAATTTCACTTTGCTTTTCCAGACTTTGTTTATTTCACTTTTGCTGTCTTCGAGTCGAATTTTTACGCTTTTCCAAAGTCGTCATCTTTCTGGCCGGGTTTTACTTTCGGTGCCCATGTAGATTGTTCAAATTTCAAATTTTGCGCACGATCTGTTGCAACGCTTTGGTGATTTTAGCGTCTTTGGCACGCCCACTTAACCCTAATAATTAACAATCATAATCGCAATTAATGTGCCAATTAATTTCACTACACCAAAATAGAGCACTTCGAACCGAACCCATTGAATGGGGGACGCGTGGCTGACTTACCAGCCTTTATAATTACGATTGCCAGCTACAAATGTCTCCGGCCCACTTATCAGACAATTTACAAGCTCACACTTGGCCGTCTGTCGTATTTGCAGTTCGCTCGAGCCTCCGGTTGAAATGAAAACATCATTTGCATACCAAACTTCACTTAGGGCTACAAATAGGGGCCTTATCGAGGGCATCTGCACCGAAGGGTTTACGACGAAAAGTGCATTGGAATAAGTTGGAAGTTATAAATATTCAAATATTAGTCCTGTTTTTCGTACTCGGTAGAATTCTTAAAAAAGTATACATACCATATGCCATTATTGACCATATGGAACTCCTAAACTTCCCTTATCCGGTTAAAAATAATTTCAACTTTAAGATCTTCATTTAATAACACTTGGGATAATATACATCCACAACTATTACCCATTATATAAATCAAATATATGACTACTTTCACTTCCTGAACTTTTAGTAGAATGAAAAGAACTTTTAATTTATTTAATGTGTCATGCTGCAACATCAAACGAGAAAGAGAGAGATACGATGCTATTTAAAGCGATTTAATATCAGATGGCTGGACTATCTCGCGAACAGACTGATAACATATTTGCGCCTGCCATACAGATAAAGTAAAGAAAATTCTATTCCCAAATGTTGTTTAAACACAGGCAAATATTTACCCATAAATTAAGCAAATTAGGCCTAATGAGTGGCCGATGAAAGGGTGTGTGGGTGTGTCCGAATGCCTGGGAACAGACCTTTTCCATAAATTTCAAACCAGCCGATATGAGATTGTTTATGCCATGGTATCAGATTCAGATGGCTGGCGACAAAGGAACTGTTTGTTTTCATTATGGGTGCAGCTGCCATTAATCCGGATCAGATGCATGGGACCCATAAAAATGGGTTCAAGAAAGCTTATATATTCCGTAAACTTCTGGTCGCATGCTATTAGCAAATGTTTAGGGGTTATTTTAATCGTTGGGCACAGACGACAGGTGGAAAATTGTAATTGAATAAGGTTTACGTAACCATAAAGTAAATTTATGGGATATATTTGAGTGCTTGAGATCCCCTACCCTTTCCAATACCCCTCTATATCTTTACACTTGCACGAGTTCCGCGATTAGATCGCCAAAAAATGCGTGCTCTGCGTAATGGGTTCTATTTATAACTCATCTTAACCAGCAAAATTTTATGGGATATTTCAGGCAGTGGCAAGGCCAACATGGATCCGGCGCTGATCAACTTCAAGGTGCTCTATGTGCTGACCCAGCTGTGTGGCCTGACGATGATCGTCCTGGTGGGCACCTGGATTGGCCAGCACTTCGGGGGTCTAGGGGGAACCTCTAATCCCGGCCTGGAGTTCAACTGGCATCCGCTGTTCATGACCATCGGCTTCATCTACCTATATGGCAATTGTGAGTATATATGCAGCGGAAGAGGTGCAACTCCACTCCACTCCCAATCGATGATCTTTAAAATGCTAATCCCAACCCACAGCCATTCTGATCTATCGTGGCTTCCGCACCACGCGCAAGAAGACTCTGAAGCTCACCCACGCTGGCATCCACATTGCCGCTTTTATTCTGACGGTGATTGCCCTGAAGACGGTCTTCGATTCCCACAACTTGGCCAGTCCGCCCATCCCCAATATGTACTCCCTGCACTCTTGGCTGGGTCTTTCGGCGGTGATCATCTTCTCGCTGCAGTATGTGGCCGGATTTGTGGCCTTTTTGGCACCTGGTCTAAGAGAAAACTACAAGATCGCCATGATGCCGCTGCACATCTACTTCGGTCTCTTCGGCTTTGTGCTGGCCATCGCGAGTGCCCTGATGGGCATCACCGAGAAGGCCATCTTCGCCATGTAAGTCTGGATCAGGCAAAGATATATCACTTGACTAATCCATACCTCTTTCCCCAGCAAAAATCCGGCGTATTCCACTTTACCACCAGCTGGTGTGCTGGCCAATGTAATCGGAGTGCTCTATGTGGTCTTTGGAGCCCTGGTTGTCTACCTGGCCACTGAGCCCGCCTACAAGCGAAAGCCCATTCCCGAGGACACGGCCCTGCTAAACTCCAGTTCTGCCAACGAATAAGGACTCTATCCATGCCCCAAAACCAGCTGCAATGCTTACTTAAGCTAGAAACTGTGCACAAAACCAAACGAAACCGAAACCTGATCTTAAAGAGGGTGCTTTGTTGATGATGAAGGAGATGGAGATGCGTGTATTATCTGTAGCAAGTACATAACTTAACGACTATGTACAATTCGGAGTTATCCACATACGTATACTTGGATCACCAGTTGTGCTAGGAGATTTCAGCGAGTGCTCAAATCGTAACGTATTTAACCTCATGAACATTTGCTTTGAACTGTACGAATACATCTATCTACGTGTGTTATATATGCTTAAATAAATATATATATTAATACAAGTCCCCGTTGACTAGGATACTGCCAGCCTTTTGGCGCTCCTCCAGTTCATCCTCATCCTCTGAGTCCTGTTCCTCATCCTCCTGCTCTGCTCCGTCTTCCTCTTCCCCTGAGGTGGAAGACTTGGTAGCCTCGTAGCTCGGATCGAATAGCAGTGGATTGATAATCAAGCTCTTTGAGCTCTTCATGCTCATGCTAGCTTGGTCGTGATCCTGAAAAGTGAGATTCGGATCTATGACCACCAGATAGGTGGGCACCTTGCCCACTCCCTTAACCTCCGTGTGGGCCCGGTAATTGCAGCGGATGTTGAACTGCCGCAGCACCTTGGCCGTGTGCCGGGTCACCTGGATGTTGTCCAGCAGACCAGTGGAGGTCATCCGAGAGGCCATATTGACGGTATGCCCCCAGATGTCATAGTGGGGCTTCGAGAGTCCCACAACGCCGGCCATTACGGGTCCATGGGATATGCCTTATCAAGAGTGTGAGTTGGTTAAGAATAGAGTGAAAGTGATATCGATGGACTGGAAGAAACCCACCGATCTTGAGGCTGCCCGACTGAAAAGTGTCGTACTCTGAAAACACGTAGTTGTACCGAAGATCGTACATGATGCGGAGTAAGTCCAAGGCGAATTCTGTCATCACCAGGACGGCAGCATCTTGAACTAGGGCAAATGGCTGGCTGACAGTATCGCCACTCATCTCATCATCCTCAGTACTACCAAAATGAACAGTCAGTACTGTGAGATAAAGTATTATAAATAGTATTTGTAGGATGAAGTATGTAAAAACAAGATAATCACCGCTAGATCTGCGCCTCGTTTCCGAATCCGCTTCAGGTGGCTTTACTGGCATGTCAATCGAGAAGTCGGCGTAGTGGTCCACCTCGAGACCGCAGGCCGCCATGTAAGTCCAACCCATGACCTTTATCTTCTCGATCTTGTACCTCATTTGGTAGTTGACCAGGAGATCGTCGAAGCAGCAGATGATCTCGTGGAGTATCCTCAGACCCGCCGTGTCCGCATTGAAGTTCTCGATGGAGGCGAACATCACGGCCACCTTGGAGAAGGTCTCGGAGTAGAGCTTATCGTTGGGTCGCCGCACCTTGTACACCTCGGCCACGTGGGAAGGCAGGATGTTGGCCATAATTATCTTGATGGAGCGTAATTTGTCATCAGTTTGTTGGTGAGTCTCCTCATAACACACTCGCATGCTAGAAGGGAAGGTTTAGTAGGGGTTCTAATGGATCTTTTCTCACCTACAAAAATGAAACCTTCTTGAGATAGTTGATGTGACGTTCCCGCAATATTAGAATAATGAAGAAGGCCACTAGGTACCAGGTGTGGGCATAGTCCGATTTCAGACCCAGATCGGTAGTCTCCGAGCGCTCGAAGGCGAATCCATAGTAGAAGTGGACGGTTCCCAAGTGAAGCCCGACGATGAGAAATCCCACGATCATCTTTATTGTAAGCGGGCAGCCCAGGATGACAAATAATAGACTAAGCACAATGACCACTGAATAGGTCACCGTCTGAAGGAATCAGAATTCCAATAGGTAAGATCTTTGGAACACTGTAAGGGTACTGTTTTTATATGCAATCTTACCCAGGGTCCAAAGCATTCCGCATAGGACTTTTCATTGTGCAGGTGGGCATCAATAATACCCAGCTCCAACTTTGCTACATCACAAGAAAACTATGTCATATCAAAACAATACTATATCATAATATATATTAGGTATAGAGAAAATACCCACCACAACCTGCGAGGACATGACGTAGAGAAGCAGCAGTACCACAATGGTCAATGGAACCCTTACGAACAGAGAATCCTCGATGCGTTCCGAGATCCTGAGGAGCCAGCGGGTTAAGAAAAAAGAGGGCTGCGACATGGGTGTAAGTCTTTTACATTGCCGTCTGAGTTTCTTATACCCAGCAAGAAAACATAGGATAAGCAGCAATAAGAGGATTCCAAACATTACATAGAGGTCGAAGTAGTCCGCTCTACGGGTTATAGAAAAGTCATATCTTTCCATACCTTCTTGGGAACTATTTACCTTTCGATCCAGTTAATAGATAGTATCGCCAGTCCGGCACAGAACATGACAAGCAGGGTGTACTTCATCATCAGATCGGGCTGGTTGTGAAAAGCCCATTCAGTCTTCCAACGGCGGAATACGCACAGAAAAAGGCGAATCCTCTTGTTGAACAGGTACTCCTCGCTGGAAGCATTTTTCTTAGAGGACCTGTTCCGCTTGCAATCGAGGAAACAGTGGCCAACCGTCATTTGTTCCACCTCCTTCATCATCTCGCGCTGGGCTTTAATTTGGATCTCTTCGTAGTATCCAGAGTAGCTGAGGCGATATGAGGATATGGAGGCGTTGCTGTAGTCATTGTCCAGCTCCCCAGGCTCCACTGTATCGGGCAGTCGGCTGCTGACGAGGTAGGTGCGGATTCCAGCTTTCTGCAGGACGGGATCATTCCTAGCCTTTTCGGTTCCATCGATGAATACATAGTGCTCGTCCAGCATGCTTAGTGTTCGTTGGGAGACGTGCACCAGTCCCGGAAGTCCGGATGTCTCCAGGTGATTGGTAATATCCACGTCTTTGGACCAGGTGTCAAACTGCCATTTGGTGTGCCCAATGATACCCGCAAAGACTTCACCAGAGTGGACCCCGATCCGCAGATTGATGGCCAGGTTGCGCCGATTGCTAATTTCCTGTGTGATTTTGATCATCTCCAAAGCCTGATCCACGCAGCAGGAGGCGTGGGCGGGGAAATAGTTGGGGATGCCTGCCACACAGTTGTAGGCATCCCCCAGGAACTTGATCCGCATTGCCCTATTGCGATTGGCAGCAAGGTCAAAATTGACAAAGAGGTCGTGCAAGATCTCCACAAGCTGCGGTGCCTCCAGGGTAGTAGTCAAATGCGTGTAATTTACCATGTCAGCCACCAAAATGGAAACCTCTGGATAGGGCTCCAAGAATAGCTTTCTATAAGATAAAGGCTTTTAGTATCGCACTTTTTAGTTATACTTATAAGCGCACCGTGAAGTAGACATAAGGGGAGTGATATTCTTATCCTGATCCTCGATACGGTTGCAGATTTCTTCCTGCAGTGTTCGAACCATTCTGCGAGGCAGGATTGACTCCAACAGAGCCTTTTCTTTTTTCATTACAGTCTAGGAAATAATTTTTTGTTCCGTAATAAAAAGATTTTTTTTGTGAGACCAAATATACCTATAAAACTCACCTGGTAGACAATGTTTTGGTATACCAACTGGTAGCGACTCAGTACCGAGCGTCTAATACCATAGTCCCGAATTACAGTAAAATACGAAAATATTAAATTAAGAATAAACAAATAGACTGCATAGGAGCTTAGCAGGGCAAACGAAATTTGATCGTTGAGGTACTGCATGTATAAAACGAAGCAGACATAAACTAGGGAAACCGAAAATCCCAGGATATATGCCGAGCAGCCCTTAAAGAATGCAATCGGTAGAGCCATGTAGATATAGAGCAGCACCAAGTGATCATAGTTGGGCACTATGGGGTAGGCCGCTCCACGGTGGATAGCTCCTAGGAGGTCCGAAAAAATGTCTGCGGAGAAATAACTCTAAGGATTACCTAGAAACTGTCATAAAAAGACACCAACCCATAAAAGTTAGAAAAAAAGCCATCAACCATGAGATGACCATATGGATGGTCGACGAAACGTCATCCTGCATGCTGCCTATCATTATAAATGGAGTAAATATCATTACTACAAAGTAGGGGACCAATGAGACTAGTACAACATCCTGAAGGAAGAAATGGAGTTCATTTTTAAAGGGAGAAAATTATAGAGATATATTTACCTTGAGTAACGACAGCAACAGAATAATGTGAATGATCATCAGCAGTTCAATGTGCCACATTAATCGACCCACATTCGATATCATTGCCATCTCCCGAAGACGAGAACATGCCGTTTCTAAGCGGAGACTTCGACATTTCTTCTGGATTTGGAGAAATGTTAAGAAATAAGTGGTGGGTTCATGCATTGAGGGACTATTTACTTTCAAGTGCCGCCATTCCAATCCCTTAATGGTGCTCAAAGAGCGGTAGGCCACCACGTCCTCTTGGTAATACGGGGAACTCATTTAAAGGGTTTAAATGCAACTTAAGGGAAGCAATTGATAGTTAGATACTATTTTATTAAATGCTGATTACGCTGCTATTCTGACTTATGAAGCAAAGGACAGATCAACACTTAGAATGGTAAACCTTAACAGAATATAAAGTTCAAATTATACCACTATTATTTCAAATTAAGTTTTAATAATCATATTTTCTAGCCTCTTTTTCGTCCATCCATTCAACGGATATTAGGCTAGATTTGCTTTTTGAATCGTCGCTTTTGTGGTGGGGCTGGAACTGTAGGTTCTGGCCCAGGGCCACCAGGTAAGTGGGCACTTCTCCCACGCCCTTCACAAACGTCTGTCCCCGATAATTGCACCGGATGTTCATGTCTCGCAGGATGTTGGAGGTGCTCTGGGTCACGTGGATGCCATCCAGCACACCCGTGGAGCTCATTCGGGAGGCCATGTTGACGGTGTGACCCCAGATGTCATAGTGCGGCTTCGAAAGTCCCACCACGCCAGCCATCACGGGACCATGGGCAATGCCTGTAATCCAGGAGTTATATAAAAATAGATTTCAAGCACGGGTAAGTCTTATACCTATCTTCAAGCTGCCAGTCAATATGGAGTCCTTCTCAAAGAGCACACCCTTGGACCGAATCTCCTGCATTACCCTTAGCATATTTAAAGCGAATTCAGTCATGACCAGGACTGTTTTACCGACCTGGTTTACTGATGCCATGGAGGGGTTCCAGGGGCTGTCAATCTCATCATCATCCTCATCCATAGGGGCAAAACGAACGGAAGCTAAGAATGAGACCAAGAAGGTCTAAAATAAAACGTCTAAAAGAAAAAGATATTGCACTTACCGGATTTCTGTGCATTTTCCATATCCAGATTTGTTGAGACTGGGACACTGATCGAAAAGTCATCGGAGTGGTCAAGGCCACAGGCAGCAAAGTAGGTCCAACCCATGACCTTGATCTTCTCAATCTTGTATCTGCCCTGGTAATTCATCAGAAGGTCGTCGAAGTAGCAAATAATCTCATGAAGAGCCCTCAGACCGTATTTATCCGCCTGGTGGTTCTCGATGGTAGCGAACATCACTGCCACCTCGGGGAAGTTTTCGTAATACAGCTGATCGCTTCGCCGACGAGTCTTAAATACCTCGGCCACATGGGAAGGCAGGATGTTGGCCATGATGATCTTAATGGACCGTGTTATTACTTTGGTCTCCTCATGCTTCTTTTCGAAACACATGCCCATGCTAAAAGGGTGGGTTACCTCAAATTGTAATTAGTATTTACCTACTTACAAGTAGGACGCCTTTTGGATGTAGTTGATGTAACCTTCGCGGACCAACACCACGATGTAGAATGTCACCAGGTACCAGGTGTGAGCTAAGCTCGATCCCACGCCCACGTTGGTGGTCTCCGACCTCTCGAATGCGAATCCATAGTAGGCGTTGACAGTAAACACGTGGCAGACGAGAATGACGAGGCCCACAACCATCTTGATGATCAGCGGTACTCCAACGATGACAAGCAACAGACTGAGAACAATGATCACTGCATAAGTCACTACCTAAGGAGATTATGAAAACTGTATTCTGAAAAACGACATCTTCTAAAGAATTCGCGATTTTGTATATAAAATGAAAGGAGTTTAGTCACACGAGTTATACGAGTACACCTAAGCATGGCCATCATCCTCTGATGAATTCGCTGTTTTTTCAGGACCAACGAGCCTAATGGCAATACTTACGACTCTTTAAAATGTATGTGTGTGATGAAAAAATGTCTGCGCTTTTCGGAAGATACTACCCAGGGTAGGAAACAAAACAGCTTGGGCGTAAAGTTGTGCAGCTCCGAGTCTATAATCTCCAGCTCAAGTCTGGCTATATCACAAGAAAACTAAAGTGAAGAAATTTGTTATTTAAGAACGTTAGAGAATACAAGAAGTACCCACCACTGCCTCCGAGGACATGGAATATAGAATGGACAACACAGCGATGGCCAGTGGAACTCGGACGAATATGGACTGCTCGATGAGATCGGAGAGTTTGAACAGCCAGCGACTCAGGAAAAAGGAGGGCCGTGTCAAGGGCGTGAGTCGACGGCCTCTTAGCCAGAGCTTCTTATAGACTGCCACGATAAGGGCCAACAGTATAACAAGAAACAAACAAAACAGTACGGTGTAGTCATAGTCATCAATCCTAAGGACCAAACCAAGAACGTTAAACCTCAAGATCCTGTCAGTTATGCAGACTTACTGTTCGATTAGGTCCATGGATATGATCATAAATCCAGCAAGGACCACCATTATCAGGCTGTACTTCATCAAGAGATCCGGTCGTTTGTTAAAGGACCATTCCGTTCTCCAGTTTCGAAAAGTGGTAAAGGGGTAGAACGATTCGAGGTTAAACCGGTACTCCTCGTTGATGTTCTGTTTAGCTTTTTCATCTTTAGGTCTAAACCTGCACGACTGGACTCGATTCACTGGCATGTGCTCCACCTCGAGGATCATCTCCCGCTGGGCCCTAATCTGTATGTCCTCGTAGTCCTCCCGGAAACTGAAACGGTAGTCATCGCTCAACGAGAAATTGTCGTCCTCAAAATCATCGGGCTCTTCGTAATCAGGCAGACGACCTTTGATCAGGTAGGTACTCAGGTTGGCCATTTGCAGGAGGGGATCATCTTTGGCCGTGTCGGTACCCTCCTCGTAAACATAGTGATTGTCCATCAAACTCAGGGTCCTGCTGGAAATGTGCACCATTCCCGGTAGTCCACATGTCTCCAGGCGAGTGGCGATGTTCACGTCCTTCGACCAGATGTCAAACTGCCACTTGGTGTGTCCAATAATACCCGCCAATATTTCCCCGGAGTGAACCCCGATCCTGAGTTCAATCTTCCGACTGCGGCGCTGACTCACTTCCCGGCTTATATCAATCATGTCCAGAGCCTGGTTCACGCAGGCATTGGCGTGGGTGGGGAAGTAGTCCGGAATCCCAGTGACGCAGGTGTAGGAATCCCCCAGGAACTTGATGCGTGTCGCCCTATTCCGATTGGCAGCCAGGTCAAAACTGACGAACAATTCGTGCAGGATGGACACCAGTTCGGGTACTTCCATTGTGGTGGTCAGGAGCGTAAAGTTGACCATATCCGCTTCTAGAATAGACACTTCCGAATGCGGTTCCACGAACAGAGTGCTATATGATATAATCTACTGTCTATTATCCCCTTTCACATCGATCTGTCCACTCACCGAGTTCTTGAGAAGGGGACTAGACCATTTGGATCGTCCTCGATGTGACTGGTAATGGCATCTTGCAAGACACGTGCCAGCATAAGAGGCATAATGGAGTCCAGCAAGGCCTTTTCCTTTTTCATGGACATCTGATATATCATGTTCTGGTAGACCAACTGATAGCGACTGAGTACCCCACGCCTCATGTAGTACTCTCGAAATCCCGAGAAGAACATGCAGATCAGGTTGAGGAAGAAGATGTACGTCGCATAAATGGTCAGCTCCCAAATTTTGTAATCTTCTCCATTTATCTTCATCTCCATCCACACCGTGTAGGCAAAGTACACCAGCGAAACGGCCAGGCCCAAAAGGTAAACTCTTCCGTTTTCCACAAAGGCAATGGGAAACATTAGATAAACCATAACAATAACCACATGATCGTAACTTGGTACCAGCGAATGAGAGGTGAAGTAACAAATGGGCAATATCAAATCTGGTGGTTAAGGTGTTAGGTATAAATGGGGTATATGTATGATCACAAACCCATCAAAGTCAGGAGAAGGGCCATCAGGCAGCTAGTCATAATTGCTGTACGATCGTGGTGCTCTGAATTGGGCTCGCTACTGGCCATTAAAATGGGAGGAGTGAGCAACATCACCGCGAAATAGGGCAGAACAGTGATTAAATCGATGTCCTGCAAGGAATCTCTTAGGAAAATCACATTTTCAGGGGAGTACAACCCACCTTGACCACGCTGAACAGCAGAACCACGTGAATAAGCATCAGTAATTCAACGACAATTAAAATCTGGCTCGCAAAGGCCACTGAAATCAAAAGGCTGTGACGATTGTAAATGCCTTCCAGTCGTAATTCGCGACACTTGTACTGAAATTCTGTTAAGAAATAATAGAATAGATAATAACATGGTTAATATACCCGCAGGAGTTTCCACTCCAAGCCCGGCATGTTGCCCAGGGAACGATAGTCAACCTCATTTTCGGTGTAGCCTGGATCCATTTCAGAAGTGTTTATAGCAAAGTTTAGTTTCAGACATAAAAGTAAAAACAACCTTTTGAACTGTTTGAAAAATTTCGTTAAATTTAAAAAAGATTTGTTTCGAATTTGAAAATAATGTGATCCCGTTAAAGTTTAACAAAGAGTTATACCCAAATGTATCATACTTTTGGGCTGAAAATTTTAGATTTTGAAAGCGAAAGGGATGCATCTCTTAGGATGAATATACAAATCTGGTCACACTACTTTTTTTTTCCCCGCCTTATAACGGAATTTCAAAATGTGGTTTGAATCAAAGCAAATAATTTCGCTGCCAAATAATGTTTTAAACTATATATAATAGTAACTTTAATGATTTGAATTGTGCAAAAGGGATTTAAATTATTAATTGGCACAGATACAAACTACAAAGTAAAGAAAAGTGGATGTCTTAAGCCTATGGTATTTATATACACGGGTTTGCCTTACAACTAATCTCTGGTAAATTCAGCTAGTCTTCTTTGTTTGCCGCGGGCGATGGGCGGTGCGGCAGGAACTGGTATTCGCTGTCGGTGCCGATGATGTAGGTGGGTATGTTGCCACGCCCCTTGACGTAGGTCATGCCCCTGTAGTTGCACTGGATGTTGAACTCGCGCAGCTTAAGGGCCGTGTTCTCGGTGACCTGGATCTGTCCCGGGACTCCGGTGGAGTCCATGCGGGAGGCCATGTTCACTGGATTGCCCCAGATGTCGTAGTGGGGCTTCGAGTTGCCCACCACACCG